CGAAGAATGCATCCGCCTAAAACGAGTTGGAATCATCTCCTAAGATCGAATATGCATCTTGGGCGCATGTTATTGTTTGTCGCTTGTTTTTTCTTTCAGCCTTGAAAATCTAAATACCATATTTCTTCTATATAATACGCATTCATCTGATCTCTCTCTCTCTCTCTCTCTCTCTCTCTCTCTATATATATATATATATATATATATATATATATATATAAAAGGCTCAAACACTAATATTCCATGGTTATAATTTATTACATTGGAATCGTAATCACGATCCAATTCATCAGACCTACAAATTCAAAAAGAAATCGGAAAATTATTCTTTCTCTGTAATACACATTGAGCTTTATCTGGTTTCTTTCCTCTTGGAAAAATATATATATATATATATATATATATATATATATATATATATATATATATGTAAGCTTTTCACCCCAAGCAAGTCGGGATTGCCACTAGCATGCCAGGTGATTATAGAGAGTGGGAGCAAGAGTAAAGAGGCGTGATAGAAGAAAGGATGAAGAGAAGGACTGGGAATAGATCAAGGCATCTGGAGATGTCGATTGACATTGCATTTAAATAGTTAGAGATTATAGCTATCAGGGAAGCAAGTAAGAGGAAGGGAGTTCCACAGACGGGAAGTGCGAGACATGAAGTTATTGGAGTAGAAGAGATGGCTACATTTAACCGTTTCGGCAGTGAAAGTGTGGGACTGAGATGCCAACCTAGTAGCACGTTTAAATTCATGTATTTTGGGAACCAGCGAAAGTAGCTCGTCGGAGCAGTTACCGTGAAAGTATTTGTAGAAAAGACAGAGGGAAGCTATGGCACGTCTGTGAGAGAGCGACTGTAAACTATATATATATATATATATATATATATATATATATATATATAGCATTATTTTAATACTTATAATCGGGTGGTGTGAAAAAAATCCAGATAATACGATTTGTAAGTAAAAAATATATTTGAACAAACTGATATCAGGGAAAAAATTCATTAAAAAAAAAGAAATGACTAAAGACATCCGTGTTGGTCGAAAATAATCAATGAGCACCGTAATGCCTTGTTAAAAGAAAAAACACCGACAGAGTAAATTAAGTAAAAACGTAAAGGTGCTCAATACATTAAGTAGAGCAAAATCTAAAAAAACCTAAGGAGCCAGAACCTACCTACCAAAGTTTCACCTAACGGATTTTCAGGCTACTACTGGTAGGTAAGTTCTGGCTCAGTAGGTATATATATATATATATATATATATATATATATATATATATGTGTGTGTGCGTGTGTGTAATAATAAAATATAGTAAGGTATGCTATATGTATGAGAAAAAGTCCTTAATATCACGAATAGTATGTGTTAATATAAAAGTGGACGCCGAGTGGTGACAGTCTGTTTCATTCTTGAACAAAATTTTCGGCCGGAGGATTGTGTTCAATCATAAAACAGTGTGGATCTCATTGTCCGCTTGTATATTATCAAATCGGAAAATAATTTTCCAAAGATTATCTGAGGTCGACTCGGAGTTTCGTGATTTCTCAATCGTCAGAACGTCGGAAAAGAAAGACTGTATTGATTACAAAAATGTCTCTTTATTATTTTATAAACGCTTATATATATATATATATACTAACTTTCAAATTTCTAATCTTTCTACACTTACGATTGCCAATCTTGTGAGTTCCTTTTTAACAACTAAAAATGGAAATAATCATTTCTTAGATACACGCATACGTGTACACTGCTATAAATGTACACTAAACAAATATTCAAAATTACACTATATGTGCTTATTATTGGCAGAAATTCTTTCGCCCCCTCCCCCACTGGCAGACATTGAATTATAATTTTAAGTATATCAATATGTAGCATTATTATTATTATTATTTAATATAAAAATGTGTAAGTATCAATTGTTGATACACCCGGATGAGTGGACGGAGTGATTGCTGGAGGGTCCGTCTACGAAACACTGGAGTCGGGATGCTGAAGGTAACATCAATCAGCTAAGTAACAAACTTTATATTTGTATTAATTCTATCTCTGTCTATCTATTTCTCTTTTGTTATCTCCCTTCCACTTTCTCACCTTTTTTTTTTTTTTTTTTTTTTTTTTTTTTACATTTTTTCTTGTATACAACTCTGTTTTATTTTCTGGATTTAATCAATGTAAAAATTGTTTAAAAGTGTGATGGTTCCGATCATTTTTCAGTTAAATTGTTAGCCATTTTCAAGGATTCATTTTTGTTACGCAACTATAATAAAAGGTCTGTATGTTTTATAGCCGATGGTATAAAAGTTATAAGAGTACATTGTGATCGTCTTAATAGTTAATGCTTTATATATATATATATATATATATATATATATATATATATATATAAGAAAGAATATATACATACCTTACAGAGTGCTATATAACTATAAAGGATCACAAACCCGATTTCGAAGCTAATCCGACTACAAAAATTATCAACCCGACCTGAAATCGGTAGAATTAGTAAGAAAATCCTAGAAAGGGTTAGCCAACAAATAAAGGATTACGTAGGATTAAAACTTTGGATCAATACCAAACAAGTTACTCATTGGTTTATTAATATAAAGGAGAAACCAAATAGTACACTAATACAGTTTGATATTGAGAATTACTACCAATTGATATCAAAGGAACTTTTCACGAATGCTATGGATTTTGCTACCCAATACTCAGACATAACAGATGAAGAGAAAAACATAATTATGAATGCGAAAAAATCGGTATTCATTCATAATAACGAGCAATGGATTAAAAATTCTAATGACCACTCCGACAGCACAATGGGATCATTGAGCTCTGTTTTTATATTATATAATCTTACTGCATATCGTGAAATTAGTATAAATGACATTGGATTGTACATAGATGATGGACTTATGGTTGTAAGGAATTCTACGAACTTTAAAATTGATAAAATTAGAAAACTATTACACAAAGAATATAAGTGCCTGAACTTGAAAATTACTATAAATACTAAAATGAAAAAAAGTTAAATTCCTTGATATAACACTAGATTTAATGAATTATATGTACCTACCTTACAAAAAGCCCAATACTAATCCTTTATATATACACCCTAAGTCTAATCATCCTCCATTTATAATTAAGCATATATCTTCATCTTTTGAAAAAAGAATAAGTACAAATTCAGCAAATGAGAAAATCTTCTATGATTCCTGGCATTAACTGATAAACATTTTCCTGGAGATAATAAACTCAGTACAATTTTTAATAAAAAGTACCCCAAAATTAAGTTTCAATTGTACTGAAAACATAGAAATGATTAAGAAATATAATGCTAATATCTTAAAAAAACACTTACACCAAAATCGAAAAATATAGGTCCTAAAATGGAATAAATGAAGATAAAGAAAAATTATGTAACTGTAGAAATCCTCAAAACTGTCCTCTTAATAATAAATACTGTATTGAATCAATAATTTATCAATGTAATATCTCATCTATTGAAGATTCAGACATAATTAAATTCTACATTGGATGCACACGGAATAAATTCAAGAGAAGGTGGAACCAACATCAAACTCCTTTAATAAATATTGAAATGAAACGTCCCTATCTAAATATTTCTGTCACTTAAAAGAAACCAATAAAGCACCAACAGTAAAATGGAAAGTAATAAGAAAAGTTAGAGCTTATAGGTCATTATATGACCCATGTCTTTTGAGCATACGTGAAAAATTATACTGTCTTAAGTTTCTGAAAAATAAAAATTCACTAAATCAAAGAAATGAAATAGCTGTTTTTGTAGGCACTGTCAAATATTTTCCTTACGTAATAATTAATTTTGAATAAAAAATAACAAAGAATAGAGATGAAACATACATTTTTATATTTGATCATTAATTAGTAATGAAATTCTAATATATTTATTTGTAAACATACCGTATAGTCTATTAGTTATAAGAACGTCGAATAGTACTTTAAATCTTTAAGAACAAAATTCAATTATTAAAAATCTGTCTTACACATATTTAAATGACCCTTTTAGAAAATCTTTGTATATAAAATATGAATTAAGCTGATGAATAAAAATGCCAAAAAATTTATTTTTGTCATTGAAAACCCGGACGACTCACTGAATAACGAAAGTATACGTTTGTTAGCAGACACCCCCGCCCCACCTAAACTTAACCTGATTTTGAAAGTAACATATATTGGATACATAAGCCGTCTAGGGAAATTAAAACCCAACCACCCCGAAATTAAAATAGACTTTCCTTAACCTAAACAACTCATAATATCAATAATTCTTAGAAAGTTTTTCCTAACATCGCTTGAAAATGGAACGTTTAATTTTTATAATTAAATTTATAGATTTAGTTTCAGTTTTGAAACATAGAAATTTTCTGAGTTGCGATGGAATCATATTTTTTTAAAAAAAACTAATATATATATATATATATATATATATATTCTGTGGCCATCAAGAATGTTCAGCTCTTACTCTAACGCCGCTTACCAAATCATTGGGATATAAAATTCGGGGTGATGTTTGAGGGAGTTTTTTTGTCACATATAATGAGCCAAATTCGGCGGTAAAATATTGTTGTCTAAGTCGGCTTTTCTATATTTAATTTGACGCTAAGTCAAATGAATTAGAAAGCTTGTACGGTTCCAATCTTCAAACTGGGAAGGGTCTCACAGCCTTGAAAAACAGCATTTGAAACTCTGGCTTTTTACTTTGGCTTCAACACTGACACGTATATCTATGTTCTCCAGTCCACTCCCCAAATCGAGGCAAAAAATGAGGTAGAGATGGGGAAATTGGCAAACAGTTTGGTGGCAAAGTTCCAACCTTGATTAACATAATTTTTTGGGACGCTCAAACGAACTGAGAGACAAAACTAACAATAGTTTGGAAAAATCCAAGAATTTTTATTTTCGCTTTTTTTATCGTAAGATGCTAAAAATCATAGTTTATTCAAGAATGAATATAGAAATTTTTTCCCTCTTCTCTCCTTTATTCCTTTTCTCTCCTTTATTCCTTTTCTCTCCTTTATTCCTCTTCTCTCTCTTTTCCTCTTCTCTCCCTTTTTCATCTCCCTTTTTTGTTTGTTTCTCTTTTCCTCTTCTCTCTTTTTCTTTCCTTTTTCCTCTCTTCTCTTTTTTGTTCTTTCCCCTTTTTCCTCTTCTCTTTTTTGTTTCTTTCCATTTTTCCTCTTCTCTCTTTTCTTCCCCTTTTCTCTTTTTCTTTCCTTTTCCCTCTTCTCTTTTCCTTTTCTCGTTTCCTTCTTTCTCTTTTCTATTTCTGTTTCTTTATTTCTCTCCCTTATTCTCTTTTCTGTATTCTGTTTCTCTTCTATCATTTTCTCTTTCTCTCTTTTTCCACTTCTTTTTTACCTTTTTTATCTTCTTTCTGTTTTCGCTATCTCTTTACTCTGTCTTAATTTCTCAACGTTTCTCTTACTGTCTTTTTCTCTTTTTTTCCCTCTTTATTTTCTCTTTTCCTTTTTCCCTCGTCTTCAAATTCAACCCAAGGTGTCATTACATTTTAAGCACATCCCAAATCACGGAAAAGCCAGGATCTTAATCCATTACCAGATCCCAATACATTCGCACTTGAAATTAAACGATGACAAAAACACTTTTCACTTAATAACGAAATAACCTGCGTCCTCTCTCGTCACATTGAGTGACGGGGTTTGAACTCGAGACCTGTTAAAAAAGCCAGGCATTCAAATGCTGATTTTCTGTGCAAGTACACCCTCCCCAAATGGAAGCCTGTCACAGTACAATATTTCTACTCAACATGGCTTCCTACCGTATTAAACAGGTGCGTAACAAATATGTAAGGGCGTGTCTTTTGACGGAGCAAGTTACACATTTTCATTGACTCTAAAGATGTGAAAACATAGAAATGATTAAGAAACATAATTTTAATATCTTAAATAAACACTTACACCAAAATCGAAAAATATATGTCCTAAAATGAAAAAATGAAGATAAAGAAAAATTATGTAACTGTAGAAATCCTCAAAACTGTCCTCTTAATAATAAATGCCGTATTGAATCAATAATTTATCAATGTAATATCTCATCTATTGAAGATTCAGACATAATTAAATTCTACATTCGATGCACACGGAATAAATTCAAGAGAAGGTGGAACCAACATCAAACTCTTTCATAATAAATATTGAAATGAAACGTCCCTATCTAAATATTTCTGGCACTTAAAAGAAACCAATAAAACACCAACAGTAAAATGGAAAGTAATAAGAAATGCTAGAGCTTGTAGGTCATTATATGACCCATGTCTTTTGTGCATACATGAAAAATTATACTGTCTTAAGTTTCTGAAAAATAAAAATTCACTAAATCAAAGAAATGAAATAGCTGTTTTTGTAGGCACTGTCAAATATTTTCACAATACAATATTTCTACTCAACATGGCTTCCTACCGTATTAAGCAGGTGCGTAACATATATGTAAGGGCGTGTCTTTTGACGGAGCAAGTTACACATTTTCATTTTTCAGATGTGTTTAAAAGAAAATTTGAAGGCTTCTGATCGGGAGATTGGAGGTCGTGAGGAGCGTAGAACCACTTTTTAATTGCTGTCCCCAGGTCCTGATCCTAGGTGGTAGCACCTGTTAGGGTCCAAGCTATGGACAAATAGTGAACCCCCAAACCAAACACGATGAAAACAGATTTTTATAGTAAAATACCAGCAGTACATTATTATATAAAAATTAGCAACAATACCTATTGATAGTAAAATAGCCAACAATACAGTTTCTCTGTAGTTGAAGTCACGCAATTGCGTTCAAAACATATTTAATTAGAAATTTTTACAACACGCGTCAGCATTTTCAAATCATCATAGTATTTAGTATTGTTGAAGTTATCACTAACATTTTTTCGTCAAGATTTACAAAGTCTACGTTTCGTTCAATTTCTCAAACTAATCTATGAAATTTGACTAAGCTAATTTGTTTGGAAATATCCTTTAACAAAAACCCTACTTCGCGCTTTAATAATTTAATTAATTTTAATTTTATAGGACTTCACGGTAAACAATATTTTTAAGAAAATTTATTTTTTTCCTTTTTAACAGCGAAAAATAAATTTTTAGGATTTCTTACTCTTGAGCGTGCAACATGCAACTGGCCATGCGTAAATATTTCTTTCTGGAGCCAAATTCCAACTTTTTGAAGCATTTGATCTTGTGATTTTTTATACTTCTCATAAACGCAGGGTAAACTAGAAGCTGGATTCTTGTATATATAAAAACTTAAAGACAAGATATGTAAAAAAAATAATTTATTTTAATCATTAAATTGTTTTAAAATAGTGTGATCATTTTGTATATTAATTAATAAACTTTTAATTTTTCCAACAAAAATGAATGAAAATTCATTGTACTAAGCTAGGCAACCTAGTAAAACCAACTGTACTTTGTACTCCCCTACTTCTTTGCACTTCTCTACAGAATTTGGTTTTGATCGGTCAGTGTATGGTTATTTTAGAGGGTGTGACGGTGGGATTAACGAAAATCACAGAATTTTATGTGTAGATTGAAGCTGTAAAATATTTAGATTTCAGCATTAAATAACCCATGGAGGTGTTGATATGCCGCTAAAAAATATCAACCAAACCGAAAAACGTGAGCTTGTAATTAGATTAACCGTTTCCATACAGGAAGCATTAAGCATCCATTGACTGAACAGTTAGCATTAGTGTCTGTTGAAATTTACAAAATCGTTCTCTTAAAAAGGTTTTTCAGGAAATTAGACAACTCAAGTCCGTTAAATGTTATCGCTCTTTCTATTAGCGATAGGGATTTCCTTCCAAACGTTTTGTTCGGAGTAGTGTGGAAAGTCAGTATCTTGATTCTCTCATTATTTTCCCTTCACGTTACATGTGCTACCTATTTTAGTTGTGGTTGCTGTTGGAAGTGTTCAAGTGGTGGAGCTTCTGTTATTTCGTACAGTTCTTTGATTCTGTAGAGCTAATTTATAAGATCTGATGACAGATTGTCTTTTTTAAAACTTAGAAGTATCTACTTTAATGTTTGGCATAGCACAATCCACGGCGCTATAAGAGGACTTAAAACTTAACTTTTTGTAGATTGATTTGGTTTTTTACGGTTTGTTATTGTTTTGCAGTTATTTAAAGCTAGAAAATATTTTTAGATTGTAATAAATTTTTGAGATAATAATTATTATATTGATACGAGCCCTACTAATTAACCCATAGCTGAAGGATATTTCTGTGCAAGTTGACCCTCTTACTTTGTGCTTAAATTTAAAGAGTACAGCAACTCCTCCCGGACTTACGACCAATTATAAAATTCATAAAATAAATAAAAAATAAATTAAAATTAAAATTTATTTTGGTAATTTTTATACATTTTACAATATTTTATTTATTTTCTCTTCCTTTAAAATGGATTGAAGAAAATAGTTACTTGTACTGTATTTACAAAGATGGTCTTGGAAAACTTAACTCTCACAGGGCATATTGAGGGCAAAGAAAGATAGAGGAATGGGAACAAGTCAACTACTTGAATGGCTTGGGTGAATGGATGGTGGAACGGGGAGGGGCGACTAGGGCAATGATTTTGAACCTATTTGGTCCGATGCCCCCTTTCCACCATGTCAGAATGACATTTCCTCCCTTTCCAAGATTGTCCGACTCAAAAGGGACATTCCAGATAATATGCATTTATTCTTGAAAATCATTCTTTTTTTTTCCCTCGATTAATCCGTGTACATTGATCTGGATTAGTTTTGTATTGGCAAAAAACACAAGAGCTCGCCGAAAGAAAACGCAGCCAGCGCTCTCAGTTGCTCGGACCGATGGACATTGTGGGTTAGGACGCCTTCGGGAGTTTGAAAGTTAATATTTTGAGTCTACCAATCTGTGCCACCCCACTTGAAATTCCCCTTTAGGCAGGAATTTCACACTGGTTGAGAACCTCTGAGCTAGAGCCCTAGCAACAAAAAAAAATAAATAAATACTGCTAAGAGCACACAAGATAAGAAATTGTGGATTGTCATGATCGCTTGTATCCTGAAGGAACGTGGTGCACAGAAAAATAAACCAACGTTATATAAAGAATCTTGAGCTGATTTTCATTTTTTTTTTTTTTCGTGACCCTTACTGTTCATCACATTACAGCACTGTATAAACATCGAGAAATATCAGATCATTGCATAAACTCGTTGCTGATGTTCGTTGTTGTTGATATATAAAATGACAGCAATTTGACACTGGCTTTTGTTTTGGTGTCGATTTCTGATGTCTTCTACATTGTGAGCAGAGAATGTCGGAAGACAAATGGACAAAATGTCGATCGGACTGAGTAACAAACAGACAAAGTGCTGAACGGAAAACAGTCGAACTGACTAAATGACGAAAGGCCAGAAATGTGTCTATAATAGAATACTTTTTTACTTGGCATGCAAGTATCCTGCCGGTAAATAATTAGGATCTTTTGTGGTAAGTCACCACAAATAATGTAAAGTTTCTTATCGTAAATATTAATCCCCCCCCATCAAAAAATTATAAATTTTAAATCAAAATTTTTTTTTTTTTTTTTTTTAAATTAAATTTTTGGTACTCATTTGAAATTATAAATTTTAAATTAAAGTTTGTGCAGTGTAGAGAACTGGGAGGGGGTTGTGTGTTTTTGAATTAGGAACACGTGTTGTTTATTCCTGTTAGAAGAAGGTCCAACTTAATGTCGGATTCAAGTTGAGTCCAACTGAAATATTATTTTATCCGTTGGAGATACTCTCTCCCAAAGGGCACTTGAATTTATAAACTATGTTGGTTTTTTGCAAATCGCTAACCGGGGGAGAAGAATTATTGCGAAGAATTAAATTGGATATACTAGATTTAGTGTAGTATATGATTAATTTAATTTTTTGCTAGGATCTGTAGTTGATATATTAGATTATACTAAATTTTTTAGTATATTTTCATCTTGTTTATAATTAGTATGCATTTGATTACGATATAGGAGATTAATATGTTTGAGATCAGTAGAAGCAGTATTATGTACAATTTTCTTAGTATTGAGATTTCTAAGAAAGCATCGTATTTGTTCATAGTTTGGAAAGCTATTGTTAATAAGTGTTTGTTTTATATTCTTTAGTCACACCACAAACTCGCTTTCACGACGCTTGACACTACATTTGAATGAAAACTCTAACATTTTTAGGCGTTTAAAACAACATGCCTGCCCGCACTCACAATTCCGTAAAATACTTGTCGAAAACACAATTATACTTCGACATGAAAACAATAGACAAAAACTAAAAATCCTTGAAGCATTATACATCAAACAGTTGAAACCCAACCTAAACAAAATCAATTATGGCATCTCTACAAATATTCTTAAATGTAACAGAAGCCATTGGTTTATACCAACGGCTTTCCATATTTCATATTTCTCCAATTCACTCTCGTGTAGTCATGTGTGACGTCATGAGATGCGGTGCGATTTTCACTTCTAGCGTCTTATATGCGCGTGTTTATCGTTGCTTAGAAATCATCTATGTAAACAATGACAGACTATCATCACT